CTTGACTACTGCCCTTCCTACACACACAAACACACACTCCAAATTGAACTTAATCCTAAACTACAGACTTCCACTCTGCTGGGGCAGAGCTGGGCTCAGAAAGCTACCCTGAGGAAAATGCTCTCTACCAGGGACAGGTGGCTTTGGAGAGACTTCCTCCATCAGAAGAGTTGTTCCTCCTTTGAGAAAAAACAGAGGGGAGGCAGGGGAGAGGCCGCAAATGTGGCCTTAGTGGAAACTACCCTCCCTTCCCATGGAAATGTGGACATAGGAATAGGGATCCCTCACCGCAGTTCCTGATTTTCGTTCAGACTTCCTGTATAGTCTTGTCTAGGGTCAATTTTGAAAAAAATGCTCTCTATGTTCTTGAACATAGTGTGCCATCTCTAGTTGTTTGGGACATAATTCTCTATTTGTCCTTTGCTGTTTTGATAGATCACTCCTTTATTTTTTATATATTTTTTTATTTTTTTAATATATTTTATTGATTTTGCTATTAAAGTTGTCCCAGTTTTTCTTTCTTTGCCCCCCTCCACCCAGCACCCTTTGGTCCCTCAGACAATCTCCACACCATTGTCCACGTCCATGGGTCATGTGTAGGTTCTCTGGCTACTCCATTTTCTATACTATACTTTACATCCCCATGGCTATTCTGTAACTACTTATTTGTACTTCTTAATCCCCTCACCTCTTCACCTATTCTCCCATACTCTCCTCCCATCTGGCAACCATCAAAATGCTCTCCATATCCATGATTCTTTCTCAGTTCTTCTTGTTTGCTTAGTTTGTTTTTTAGATTCAATTTTGTTGGTACATATGTATTTATTGCTGTTTTATTTTCCATAATTTTGATCTACTTTTTCCTGTATAAGTCCCTTCAACATTTTATAATATAATGGTTTGGTGATGATGAACTCCTTTAGTTTTTCCTTGTCTGGGAAGCTCTTTATCTGCTCTTTAATACTAAATGATATCTTTGCTGGGTAGAGCAATCTTGGCTGTAGGTCCCCACTTTTCATGACTTTGAATATTTCTTGCCAATTCCTCTAGCCAGCAAAGTTTCTTCTGAGAAATCAGTTGACTGTCTTATGGGAATTCCCCTGTAGGTAACTAACTGTTTTTTTCTTTCTGCTTTTAAGATTATCTTTAACCTCTGGCATTTTAATTATGATGTGTCTTTGGAGTGGGCCTCTTAGCATCCCTTTTGTTTGACTTTCTGCTTTTCCTGGATTTGCATGTCTATTTCCTTCACCAAATTAGGGAAGTTTTCTTTCATTATTGTTTCAAATAGATTTCCAATTTCTAGCTCTTTTTCTTCTCCTTCTGGCATCCCCTATGATGAGAACGTTGGACCACTTGAAGTCGCCCTAGAGGCTGCTTACACTATTTTTGTTTCTTTGGATTCCTTTTTCTTCTTGTGTTCTGATTGGTTGTGTTTTGCTTCCTGTGTTCCAAATCATAGATCTGACTCTTGGCTTCATCCACTCTACTGTTGTTTCCCTGTAAATTGGTCTTTATTTTAATTAGTGTGGGCTTCATTTCTGATTGGATCATTTTAATGCTGCTGAGGTCCTCACTAAATTCCTTGAGCATCCTTATAACCAGTGTTTTGAACTCTGCATCTAATAGATTGCTTATCTCCATTTTGATTAGTTCTTTTTGGGGGAGTTTTGATCTGTTCTTTCATTTGGGCCACATTTCTTTGTCTCCTTGTTTTGGAAGCCTCCCTGTGTTTGTTTCTATGTATTAGGTAGAGCTGCTATGACTCTCTGTCTTGGTATCATGGCCTAATGTGGTAGGTGTCCTGTAGGGTCCAGTGGCACAGCCTTCCCTGTCACTGAAGCAGGGTACTTGAGGTGCACCCTTCATGTGGGCTGAGTACACTGTCCTCTTGTAGTTGAGACTTGATTGCTACTGGCAGGTCAAGTGGAGGGATTTACCCAGGGCAATCAGCTACAAGGACTGGCTGTGACCACTGACCACCAACCTCTGCCCTCCATGGATGATCAGCGGTTCAGGGGCAGGGTGGTGGTGCTCTGACATGGTCTGTAGCTGTCCACTGGGTGTGTTGGCCCTGGGGTTTCCCACGTTGTGCAGGCCAAAGTTAGCCCCAACCTGTATTTTTCCCAGGGCCACCCTCCTGAGCTATAAAGCAATCTGAGATGGCTACTACTTGTGTTGGGCTTGAAGATTCCCAGAAGCCAAGCTGTGAATCTAGGCTTGGTGCTGCTAGTGCCAGGCCTGGGACCACTTAGTTTTGCTGGGGACTCACTGAGGCTAGCTGTTGTTTGAGAGGATTTAGGAAGTTGTGAAGCATGAGCGAAGACCAGCCATTGCTATGGAAAAGCAGCTTGGGTGGGCCCATAAATTGGTTGGGACGGAGTCTCAGGGGATCTCCACAGCAGCGCAAACAGTATTAACCAGGTTGATGGAGTCTTAGATATGGCACCAGCCTGCTGCCTCTGTGACTCTGTGCGGGGAGGGTTCAGAAAAGGGACAATGGCCTCCGCCCACCTTTCTATCTCCCAGCTCTCACCTTGATGCCAGCCACCAGATTCTCCCTGTATTTCACTGGCATCTTTCAAGCTGCTACCTTGGTGCTGGAGCTCAGAGGGAGAGAGTCCGAGTAAGTCCATGTGTGGGTTCATTAAGAGGAACTGCTTGGGATTCCAGAAGTTTCTTCTATTGACTCAATCCCCACTGGTTTTTGCAGCCTAAAGTTATAGGGACTTACCTTCCTGGCACTGAAACCCTTGGCTGGTGGGCCTGGTGTGGCTCTGGGACTCCTCACTCCCAAGATATTCCTCCTGAATTTTTATCTACCACATGTGGATATGGAACCAGCTCTCTCTGCGTCTCCTCCCCTCCTACCAGGCTGAATGGATGTGGTTTCTTTAATTCTGTAGTTGTCAGACTTCCATTCAACTCGATTTCTGATGGTTCCGAGTGATGGTGGTTTTATACTTTGGTTGCAATTTTGATGTGGTTGTGCCAGGAGATGAGTCGTGTTTATTGGTGCCAACATCTTGACCTGAAATCCTTGTAAAAGGATTTGGCTTGGTATGTTCTCTGTGGGAAAAAATATAAATTATGGTTCAATATTTTATAGGACTATCTATGATTTTTACATTTAGTTTTATCATTTTATCCAGTGATTGTGTGTGTTTGTGTGTATCTGTTTTAATAGTCTGATCAACATACCTACTTCATTATATGGAATATTTTGTTTTATCTTTTGAACACTTTATATTTTAATCAGTGTTATAACTTTTGTACCTCCCTCTTGATAACATCAAAGAACTAGGCTTCTTTTATTCCACTATTAAAATTTTTGAGTTTGAATAGTTAAGTTTAATGCATTTATAATTATTATAATTACTGGTATAAAGGTATATGTGGACTTAATTTTCTGGGGTTTTTTTGTCCAAGGCCAGAGTGATAGAAGGTTAATGAAAATCTCAGTCTTACCACCTACTTTTGTCCTAACTCATTCTACATTTATAAAGGGGTTTGTGTGTGTATATGCGTTGGAGTGTGTCCAGGACAGAGAGGGATTACTCAGCAGTTGTGCGGAGATTGGGGGTCTTCTTCTGCTTCTGTCCATTTTCTCATCTGAAGTTTGGCTGGGGTCCTTCTAGTCTCCAGAGGGTGCTGAGCACACACCCAAGAGTGGATAATCAGTCAGTCTCCCCAGAGCCACAGACTTGTTTGTGGATTGTGATCCGCTATTCCCTCTATCCTGCACTTTCAGAAAGCAAACCAGCAATCAAATGGTAATTGTTTCCTTCTGTGTGGATTTCTCATTCCAGAGACTGCCATGGTGAGTAGGAAATTGGCTCTTAGAAGAGTAAAGGGACCTGGGATTAGACGTCAGGCCTGCAGTGTACCCGTGGATGGGGTGGCCCGACAGCCCACATTTTCCAGCTGTTGGCCTTATAAACAATCCAGTTGCCCTAGAAATTCCACCAGCTAAACCATACTTTCTAAAGTGTTTCTTGTTGCTGAAAGAAGTACAGAAATCCTTTATTAGATTGTGTCACCCCAGTTTTGGTTTGAAAAATATATCACTATACTTAAACAAAAAAGAATGAGATTTGCTTTTTTTTTCTTTTAATGGTGGTGTTTATAAAGAAAAAACAGTCCTATTTGGGACATATAAAATTAGAAAGAGTGGACCCAATACCCCAGATTTCTGAGGAAGTCTAGGCATTCCTCCCCTTAGCTTTTCATCCAAGCATATGTGCAAACATTCAGCCCTATTCCCCTTCAGCCTCTACTGGGCAGGGCCATGGTGCTAGGAACTCGGCTAACTGTGACAGGGACTCTGCCCCCAGAGACTTCCCTGCCTGTAATGGGGAAATGAGATGTGGACATACAGAGTAAATAATACAGGATAAAAGTGTGAGTACATCAGCGGAGACAGAGTTCTCTCAATTGGGAAGATCCAGAAAGCAGTCCAATGCATTGAACCCTTGCCGGAACTGACACAGCGTCACGTCTGCTGCATTCTTCTGATCAGAGCAAGTTACTAGAGCGGCCCAGAGTCAGGAACCACCTGGGGATGAAAGGAGTGGAACGTGCATGCAAGGATGGGAGGAATTGTTGGTGGTCATATGTGCAGACAACCTACCACATTGATTTAAATGAATGTTTAAATTCATTTAAGATTATTAATCTAAAAGCTGAAGAATGGCATCTCATTATTTTAGCTGCTATGTTTTTGGTTGGTGGTGAGGGCTGGCTGTGTTTTCCCAGTTGTCTAATGGTGTGAGGTCCCTATGGTGGTCCTAGTGGGCACAGTTATCCACCTCTGAAGGTCTCTCCCTGTCACTCCAAGCCCGGGGCTGAAGATGGTTTCTGCAGAGTTTACTTTGTGAGTGGTCCTGCTGAGGCTTCTTATCCATCCCTTACCCCACTCTCCTTTCACTATTTTTGCTCTTTACCAGTTCCCTGCCCATGGCGTCTACCTTACAAAGATTCCTGCCTCTCTCTTGTTTTAGGCACGAAAACAGGTGCAGATATCAGTGACGGTACCTGTGAGCCTGGACTGACTTCACCGGCTTCCTACTTGAATCCCTTCCCAGTGCTCCATCTCGTTGAGGACCTGAGGTTAGCCCTGGAGATGCTGGAGCATCCTCAGGAGAAAGCAGCACTTCTGAGCCAGATCCCAGGCCCCACAGCTGCCTACATAAAGGAGTGGTTCGAGGAGAGCTTGGTGAGTAGGCCTGTGGCCTATTTGGGGAACCACTGGGGAACATAATCATGGAATCCAAGGAATGTCACCACTGCCTGGGGATGTTACTTCATCCGTGCACCTTCCTGTCTTTTTGCTTCCAGTCCAGCTTTAGTCAGCTCCCACAGGGTGGTCCTTCCCTGGAGGGTAGGACCCAGTCAAACAGCTTAAGCTACATAGTCAGCCGGCCTGTGCACTCCAGCCCCTCTCCTGAGAAAGGGAGATCCAGGGCCAGAGAATAGCAGATGTGAAGACTTTTTTCCTCCAGGATTACATGGACCACTCACTGAGTTACCGACCCTAGCTGAGGTGTCTACCCCCGGCTGAATGCCCCACTCTTTTTTCCTTACAATGGGCGAGAATCTTACCTCATTCATTCCTTAACTATTGCCCTACAGACCTCCTTGCTTCTAGAAATGCTTCTTGTCCCGAGACAAGAAGGGTGAATGCAGCTTTCCTTACTCTCCTCCCCTTGCTCTTTCTAGATCAAGCCCGCACACCTGCTAGTTTCTAAGGGCAGCAGACGAGTAACCACAGCTGTATGTACGTGGCTTTGGTTACTCATCTACCTCCCTGTGGAGGCCAGCTGGACAACATTAAGAGACTAGTAACATCTGGAAGTGGGTCAGGCGAGAAGCTAGCCCACTGAGGAATTGATCTGGAGTGAAATCACTCCAGGGCTGGATGAACCTGGGAGCCAGAGGAAGCATGTGATCACCTGCCCTGAGTTGGAGGATGGAAGCTGAGATGCAGTCTTCTAAAGCTAGAGTCCTGCAAACGGAAGTCAAAACTGAAAAGCATGCATAGAGCGAGGAAGACAGGAAGGGGACCACTGAATTGGGAGGGAAGGCTCGATGATGGGAAACCACAGACCAAGAGGGTGAGACACCCTTGTCTAGAGGCCATGTCGTTTGTTACAGGTTATGTCCCAGATGTCCTAGCCTGCTTTCTGTTCCAGAGGCCTCTGTCAGTAGTCTCATCCCCATGCCTTTCTCCGAACACTGAAGCATCCTTCATTATGTGTGTTATTCAGTATTTTGATTACATAGGCTTCCTGTCTGGTGTTCTGTATATACCTAATCCAGTGTGGTAGGGAGAAAGATGTCTACATACTGATTGCCAGAACCTGTGAATTTGTTATGTTACATGGCCAAGGGGAAGGTAGTGAGTGGAATTAAGGTCGCTAATCAGCTGAGTTTAAAACATGGCAAGTAGCCTGGATTATCCAGGCCCAATGTAATCGCCGGAGTCCCTGTAAGTGGGAGGAGGAGGCAAAGTCATTGTCACAGTGACGTGATTCAACCCCTCTGCTGCTGGCTTTAAAGATGGAAGGAGGCCAAGAGCCGAGGGATGTAGGCAGCTGCTCAGAGCTGGGAAGGTGGCCCTCCCTTAAAGCCTCCTGAAGTAATAGCCCTGCCGACACCTGGATTTTAGCCCAATGAGACCTATTTCGGACTTCTGACTCCCAGACCAGTAAGATAATATGTTTGTGTTGCTATAAGCCTCTTAGTTTGTGGTACTTTGTTAACGCAGCAATAGGAAACTAATACAACCAGAGACTGCTTAAAGGGTAAGATGGAGGTTGCTGGGTGGGTCTCAGGTGGGCCTGTTACAGTTCAGGTTTGCAAGCCGCCTCCTCCTCATTTCCTCCCCAAATGAAGACAGTCTTTGGTGGTCCTCTCAGACTTGTGCTGAGGACAGACAGAAACCCTCATTGCTCATCCACTCACTCTTTTAACCGTGGTTGGGAGTTGCAGGGGGAATGGCTTCTGTAGTTAGTTCTCCTGTTCACTTCACAGCTGAAAGGGCTCCCTTTGCTTCCCTAATTCCATGAGGAGCCCTCCACTGAGACTGTACCGTCAGTTCCACGAGGCTGATCCTGGCTTCTCTCCAGTCACCTCTGGCTATCTTTTGCCCCTCTGCTTGGACAGCTGCAGCTCCTGTGGCCTACTTTACCCCAGGCATGGACACCGACCCCTCTCTCTGTTTCTGCTTGCACTGCCGACTCAGCCTGCAGTGTTTAAAGATAGTTTTATGACAGGTCCGTAGTCCCTCAATATGAAGCCCTTGGGCCTAGATGTGTTTTAGAACTCAGAACTATTAAACTGTGGAAAGGTGAGGCAGTGGAATCTAATATATACCGTCTCTAGCAGATACAGGGTAGGAAACGCATGAACAGTTGTTTAGAAAACTTTTGAGCATCCGCATGAAGTGGGATAAAGAAAGACTATAAATATTCTCCTGCCAGTTCAGGTCGGGTTTGCTGCCAAGTAAGATTGTCACCAACATTATTTTACAAAACAAAACAAAACTTGATTTTGAAAACTTTTTTTGAGTTTTAGAATTACAAGTAAGAGATGGTGGACTTGCATAAAGAATATTCCAATGCAGAAAGCAAACCCTAAAACCAAGTATTGGATATTGGATGTCACCATTCCCAGTTTTCATCAGCTATAATCCCTCTCCGTGAGTCACTTGCTAACTCTCTCTGTCCTTGGGATGGCCTATCACCATGTGCCTGGGTCCCTTTGGTAACTCCCAGCCTTCTCCATGGTTCCCTGAACATTTCATTAGTCTTCAGAGCAGTTTTTCACCTTTTTATTTTAAATGCCCAGTCGCAACTCTGCTCAGGACCTTACCACACGTAACTGAGAGATTCATCGGCGTGTCTTCCCCAACAGACTCAGTCTGCCCAGAGCACAGGCAATAGCTGTTGTTTTTATTCTTTACTGTATAGTAACTATGTATTTTCACCTTGTCCGGATGTGCCTGAATTTGTGACCATTTCTATAATATTGATATTTCAGTTGTTAATTGTTCACCAACACATGACATTGATTGCATGTATTGGTGAACATGCAATGGTGATGCAGAGAATTTGTCTGCCCAAAACTATTTTTCTTTCTATTTACATACTTCCTTAATGAAGAGTCCTAGAAGTGGTGTTACAAAGGTGAAGTAGGGTTAACAGACAAAATACAGGATGCTCAGTTAAATTTGAAGTTTAGGCAAACAACAAATAATTTTTAATAAATATGCCCTATGCAGTTTGCTGGATCTGGCAGTTATAATCCGAAGGTATTTATATCTTTGACACATTTTTCCAAACCACTTTTTAGAAAGATTTTACTCATTTATATTTTCATTAGTCAGGCTTCCATGCATCCTGATAAACAATAATCACTAAAATTAAAAAAAAAAAAAAAAGCTTTACTAATTTCATAGTGAAAATGTTTTCCTTTTATAATGATTGCGTTTGCTTTGTTTAGTAGGAAGAGTAGGCATTTCTTTCATTAGTTTAGTATTTATTCTCTTAATGGTCTCCAAACTGTTGCTCTCATACCCCATCTGAAAAAATTTTATTCTCTGTATATTCATATTCATGTATGCAGTAATGTCCTAATGTATGTAAATTATATTTTTGAGATTTTTAAAGGAGAGGTTAAAAAGTAGTTCCAATATTTTCTTCAGACATACCCCAGAGATTACTTTGGGTCCCTGATTGTGTTTACCCTACACTGATCTTGTCAAATTCTATGCTTTTTTTTTTTTTCTATTAGAATTTTGGTGCTTTCTTCAGGTATTAGGTTGGCCAAAAAGTTAATTTAGTTTTTCCCATAAGATGGTTCTAGTAAGTGCTTAGTTGTCTTTAACTTCATTTGAAATAATTATGTTAGATTGTATTGTGACAGCTATTATATCAGTGTGCATCTTTTAAAACTTATCAAAATTGGTGAATGTGCAGCCATTTTAATATTGAAGATGGGAGAATATGCGCAACATTTTTGGCGTATTCTGCTTTATTATTTCAAGAAGGTAAAAACAAAACTGAAATGCAAAAAAGGATTTGTGCAGTGTATGGAGAAGATGCTGTGGCTGATCAAACATGTCAAAAGTGGTTTGCAAAGTTTCTTGTACTATTGACATTTTGGCCAAGTAATTCTTTGCTGTGGGGCTGTCTTATGCATTGGAAGATGTTTAGCAGTACCCCTGGCCCCTACCCACAAGAAGCCAATAGCAGGAGACAGTTGACATATATTCAAAATATCCAAATCAATAGTTATTGATGGAAATGAAAAATGTGTCTTTTATTTTATGGAAAAAACTAAATGGATATTTTGGCCAACCCAATATTTAAACGACTCTTATTATTGGCCCTTTGTTTTATTTGCAACATTTATTTTCCTCACATTGTTTTTAAATGTTTTAAGTGTTGTTTATGGTACTTTTTGAGACATGGAATTTAGAAGGATTGTAGTAGTTAACTATCAGTCTTTCCTGTTTGGATTTCCTTTTCTCCTTTTTATCTTTAGAAAAGCCTTTCCCAGCCCTGGGTCAAATAATATTCACCTTTATCTTCCTCAAGTAGATTTATCATTTGATTTGTATTTTATGGTTAACTCTAACTCACCTGCAGTGTTTTTCACTGTGACATGAAACACAGGTCTAACTTTTATTATTTACCCAAGAAGATTCAAAACTTCTTTTTTTATTCATAGGCAGTCAATGTAGTTATTGTTTTTTGCAGGATTCATTGCAAAAACAGCTTGTATTCAGATTTGCAGATCTCTTTTGGGGTTATTTTCAATGCTTGGGGAAATGCCTTCCTCTGGAGAGATTTTCCCAAAAATTGTTGTATTCATAAATCTTTTAGAGTAATTATGGCCATCAACGACCTATGAATGGTATACTTTTCAGGAGTCAAAAGTTCATATAAACATTCCATTATACCAGGGCTGAATGTTAATGTTTTGATTTTGGACAGAGGCAGCCTGTCTGTATTTTAGGTCTTGGAGACTTGACCAGATTTTACAATCTGGGTGCACTCACATTCCATACCCAGTCTTATCTGTATGGAAATAGCATTTAAAGCAGTGAACAAACAAACCTACTGGTACTTTTTAGATTGACACTTTTAGTTAGAAGCCCTTGCTACTCAAATTGTGGTCTATGGACCAGCAGCTTTAGCATCCCTGGCAGCT